CTGGGTACATCAAAACTTTAGAAAGTAAAGGAAATGCTAAAGCTTTCATTTTATATTTCAGTTCAGCTTATTACTAACATTTATCAACTGTGCATCTTGTTTCACTGTCTGTCAATGTTACATTTTTCCTCTTTTTCTGTTACATTTTTCCACTTTTTCTTTTTCTTTTTTTCTTCCTCTTTTTCATTTTTCCTCTTTTTCTGTCTTTCCAGAATTACATTACAACTAAACTCAGGAAAAAAGGGACACCAGGTTTCCAGATCAAGAACAAGGACCAGGTGCGGCACTTTTATTACAGAACATGGCACAAAATCTCGAAGTACATCACTTTTCATGAAGGTATTGTATTTTTTTTAATCATTGTGTGTATAAGGGGTAATTGTTGTTTTTTTGTTTTGTTTCTTGCTTGCTTGCTTTCTTTCTTTCTCTTTCTTTCTTTCTTTCTTTTTTTTCCTCTTTCTTTCTTTCTTTCTTTCTTTCTTTTTTTCCTCTCTCATTCTCTCCCTCCCTCCCTCCCTCTCCCTCTCCCTCTCCCTCTCCCTCTCCCTCCCCCTCCCCCTCCCCCTCCCCCTCCCCCTCCCTTTCCATCCCTCCCTCCCTCCCTCCTAGTTGTTCTTGTACTGACACTTTATTTCAAATTTATGAGATAACTGTGTATGGAATTTTGAGTCTTAAATATTTCATCAGAAGATTGTGTCTATTTATTATTATTATTATTATTATTATTATGATCATGATGATGATGATGGGGTTAAATTTTAATCTTATTTTTTTAAATATGTTTAAGGGGTGGTAGTGAAACTTCTCATCTATTTGAAAGTTGGAACATCTTTATACAATAGTAATTTCATGTATGTAGAGCAATTTGTTTAAGAATTTTAGAAATTTTCACTTTTACGAAAGGGGGAAACGGTAGAATAATGAAAGTGGCTCAGATTTTTAAAATCTTTGTGGAGGTGGTGGCTAGAATTGATGTATATTGTGTGCATAACAGAGTATAAATGGCAAGGTAATATTGTAATAAATAACTGCATGAGACACTTCCCTTAACTCTACAGTGATGGCACCAGAAACCTCACGGTGTTACTGATTCAGGTGACATCTGGCAACCATCCAGCCTTTGGGCCTGGGAGTCTGCAACATGTAGCAGAACTTCCTGCTTGACTTGCTCTTGTGTGTTGTGATGCCTGTTGTCTTACCCGTCATGATGAGTTGGTTTTTCATGACGGCTGTAGGTGTGCCCAATCCTTAACTATGGTTGAGGATTGTAGATTATTATAGATACATTTTTATTAATTTTATTCACTGATTACATTTTGTTATTTTACCAGGAGTCAAGAAGGCCACCCAGGAGCTGTATGGCCTCATTAATTATGGTGAGCTGCGCAAGAAGATCGGAGGCACGCTAGATGAGCGCAAGGGGCAGAAGTTGCAGGAGTTGATTCGCAAGGGTTCTACCAGTGTTAGGGTGAAAGGCAAAAGTGTCAGGGTCAGAACGCCTATTTGCCGAGCTCTCAAAAAGTTGAATCAGATTGAAGGTGAGGACTTTTTTGTTGTTGTTGTTATTGTTGTTGTTGTTGTTGTGTAGCAGGGCTTGGGAACTGTTAATTTACTTTGAAGTTCTCTTTTTTACAGTTATTTGAGGGCGTGCATGTCCAAAGATTATCTCAGTCCAATTATCCTAAAATGCATTTATTAGTTGTATTGTTAGTTTAAATTTTCATCTAAAACATAAACATCAGTATGTTTATTTAAATGCACTACAATCTCATGATCATAATGTATTAACCCCTACAATCCAGATGACGTGATCATCACATCATGAAAAAATTTGGCTTGATCTAAACATGCCATCATGGGAAAATGTGGCTGTGGGCTGGGTGATGTGAACCTGCCGTTATGAGTGTTTTGACTGAAGGCTGGGTGCACAAACTTCTTGGAGGGTGATTAGACTCATCTGGCATTTAAAAGGGCCTTTACATTATTCCTATTAAATAATAGAATGTAGACTGTAATGTCTGTGATCTGTGACTGGAAGGGCACCGGCTCTATGGAAGACACCATTTCCATGCTCGGCATCATGTTCCTGGCTACTGTGATTGGCAGCACAGGTTACAGAAATTTGAATATTACAGAAAAAAATAAAAATTATATCAATTTTATTTTTTCTCTCTGTTTCATTTCTTTTCTTGCACTGAGTTATAGACTACCTGCAGAAAGATGATATGTAGTGTTCAGGTTTTGGTTAGTTCTTCAGTTTTCCAAGAAAATTTATTTCGTGCAATTTCTTTTATAGAACATCGTGAGCATGGAGAGCTTAGAGTTCCCTTAAGCATAACAGTGGAAATCGTGCCTGCGAGCATACATGCATGGTGCCACGTCCAGGGTCAAGCACACAATCCTCGGGTCCGTGTGACAACTCCTCTCCAGCGACCTTTGGCAGCTCTCATCTCTCACCTGCAGGAAAAGTGGCGAAGATCAGAACTGAAGCTTGTATCCTTTGGATTTACAAATTTTGATCAGCATTTTCTTCTTCATTTTAATATTATTGTATTAGTTTTCCCCTTACCCCTGTTAATGTGCTTTCCTTGACTAGAAACCAGCGAGAAACACTATCATCCCGGGCAACCTTTCCTGTTAACCGGGAGGATGTCAAGGAAAAGGTTCTGAGAATATTACCTCCCAAGGGTACTGTTATTAAGCCTATCTCAGTGCAGGTTAGTTTGATTATAATGTGTCAAGTTCTCTCTTATGTTATAGGCTATTAGAAATTGATATGTCTTTTATTATTTATCAGTAGTTATACTTACATACTTAATTTTTTAGTAGTAGTAGCAGTAGTAATAATAGTGGTAGTAGTTGTTAAAGTAGTAGTTTCTTTGTTGTTAAAAAATATTGGGTTTCATTAATGCCAGTACACTAATAATTCTTGATCCTTGATCTTTAATTTTATATAAAATTGACATTCCTACTATTACCATAATTCTAGCAAGAAATCCTTGTTACTAAGTTGTCCAAGTTCCTCTTTTTAAAGGCTTTCCTCATTGCAGCCTGATGTGTTGATGAAGAGCTCAGCAGTGTCCCTCCTCAGCCACGAGGCAAGACTCAGACGGCGTGGAGAGAAAATAGGAAGAAGTAACAAGCGCAAGGAAAACAAACAACCCCTGAGTAAGGGACCAACCGAAGAGATAATCATTGATGAGATTGCAGGAGAGGGGGAGGGTCCACAGTGTGATGCAGAGGGGCTGGGGGGAGATGCAGAGGGTCCTGGCTGTGATGTGGATGGCCTGGGAGGAGACTTAGAAGACCTGGGAGGGGAAGTGTCCCAAGAAGAACTGGAGGATGGAAGTGACGTGGAGGTGGGGGGGATGAACTCACCAGATGGGGACCAGGAAGAGGCAGTCATACTCTCACCAGATGCTCCAGCAGGTACCACGAAGGGTGCTTGTGGGCCTATGCAGGTGAAGGAGGAGCCTCCAGACTCCCCACTCATGATGTCACACGGCATCATAGACTCCGATATTAAAGTGAAGGAAGAGAATGAAGCAGAGTCAACGGAAGCATTAAGACAGTTGCTTGCTCTGGAGACTGTGGCCAATGCTGGAACACCAGAAAATGATGCTGATGTTGTTTGTGTAGGGGAAAGTACCAGGCTCACAGCAAATGTTGGAGAAGCGCAAAAGAGCTCGACAAACGCTTCAGCAAACCAGGTAATATTTATTTTCCTCTTTGTAAACACTATTCATTTATTAATGGCTTATCCGATAACCAGTAGGCATAAACTGTCTTGATAATTATTTATATGCAATTTTTCATTGTTCTCTCAAAGGCAACTTCAACCCGAGGTAATGCCCCCTTAGAAGAGAAGGGATTAGATAGTCCTAGGCAAGATGAGGATGAAAAAGATCAAAAGGGAGATGTCACAGCCACACCTGCAGAGGACACTGAGGCTTGGATGCAGAAAATACAGGGAGGTTGGACTCTCAGCTCTGTGGGAGGAATAACTATTGGGGAATTATATCTGTTGGTAAGTATCTGGTTGTATATATTGTGTAGTAAAGTGGTATTTTCTGTTATCGTTTAATCTTGGAAGACAGAGCATATATTATATGCAATCTTCTTTCCTTGTTTCAGTTTGGGCAGAATAAGAAACTTAACTTGGAATATGATTTTGAGGAGCCAGTGACAGAGAAGCTGGGTGAATCAGATGATTCACAGACAAAATCGCAGGAAGATAGTCCATCAGGAGGAGCTATAAGTGGAATTGTCAATTGTGATATAACAAGGGCAGCTGCTGTAGCATCTAGTAACCTTCCAGGGGCAGGGATGGGGGCCATGCTTAATATGGAGAGAGAGCAGAGACCAGATGCAGCAGGCAAAGACCCAGCAGACAGCAATAGAGAAAACCCAAATGATAAAAGTAAAGTGGATGTAGGGGAGGCCAAAAGAGCAGCAGTGGAGAATCTATCAGGAATGCTGTTGCAGCTATTGTCCATGGTAAGAGTGATCATGGCCAAAAGCCCAACAGAATCCTGCTCCTGTGGACATGTCTGTGGCCGGGGGAGTGGTGGGTTCCGTAGCCCGGCTGCTACAAAGGGACAAGGCCTCCTAGGGCTTGGCCGGAGTCCCAGCAGTGGTAGGAGCCCTCGCAGTGGAAGATTAGGATCTACTGGTGGAAACAGCCCCAATATGCGCAGCCCAGGAATGCAGCAAGTGATTGCGGGGCGAAGTCCTCTTGCTGCCAAAACACTCAAGGAACGCAACAAGCCTTCATCAGCCAAAAAGTTGATACCAGATGTAATGGGCTCAGGACTATCAAAGGTAAGGACAAATTGGACAGTTTTGTATTTGTAAGGGGATTAGGGAAGATGTTCATGCCAAATAAAGGAGGGGTGGCATTCATTGTTAATAAGGAAAAGGTATTAGCTTTCATACAGGAAACACATGGTGATGAAGTTGTGATGATAATGGGACTGGAGAAGGGGTAATGAATTAGAGAAAGTGTACAAAAGTAGGTATACAGAAGTAATAAGGAGATAGAAAAAGAGAAGTTGAAATATAAAATTAGAGGTGAAAAAGTTGAGATTTCACTAGCTGGAAGAAGTTCACCTCACCCAACATATCATTAGGACTTACTAGCTTGGGATTGTAATTACAAATCTTGTCTTTAGGTCGACATAACAAATGGCACCAGTAGCAGCACCAGCAATGGAGTTGAAGTAACATTCTTGCCACCTATTTCATCGGTTGCCATCCCCCCTACAAGCACCACCTCAGGCTCGCAGGATCAGGGGCAGATGGCAGGAGTGCGGGTCGTCGTAGGGCCTGGGGGGGATGGGGGAGAGTTCCGAGTACCTGTAGCACCTGCGCCAAGGCAGGTTCACTCTCAGCAGGCCAGCTTCAATGCTCAACTGAATGTAAGTTTCAGGGGAGGAAGTTTGTCTTATCTCCTCCTTTATATTCCTTTTCTTACTATTATTCCTCCTCCTACTCCTACTCTTCCTATCCTTCTTCCTCTTCTTCCTCCTCCTCCTCCTCCTCTTCCTCCTCCTCTTTCTTTTATTTCTTATTTTTACTTTTATGTTTTCTCCTCCTCCTCCTCCTCCTTTATATTATTTTGTTATGAATGTTATAGGGACTTGAATAGTTTAACCCAGTGCTGACGGGTAACACGTGTATGTACGTGCTATGCCCACTGTGAGTTACTTGTATGATTGTTTTTACACATAGATGGCAACACTTGTACTAAGTCACCAATGAGCCAGCTACGAGTACTGCCTGTCTCACCCTTTTACCCTTTTCTTTGATTTACGAAATATTTTACCTTATCTTATTTTGCTTTCACTAATGTTAACCCAATGACGCCGGGTGTACAAAACAAAAAAAAAAATTTACGCTCTAGCAAACAAAGGCGGTGCGCCGACTTTGAGCGCGCGAGTAGGGGGACATCAGCGCTTTGGCGCACCGCCGCGGCGTACAGCTGCACGCCAGCTTTCAAGCGATTTGTTTTCAAGCCAATCGGCATCACCCGGCACCAAAGGGTTAAAAAACATTATAATAATTATAATGTTTTTAATAAAAATAACACCAATGATATTCATAACACTAGTGAAAAATACATTTTTCCTGCCATTTCAAATCAGGTGTTAGCAGAGCCATCTATGGGCAGTCATTTCACAAAAATATAGAAAATAGGCACAGCATTTTCCCCATTTTTTGTTCATTTTCCCTGGTGGCATTGGGTTAAATGACTTAGAATTTATAGTGAAGTAAGAATTAATGATGGTGTGAGTTAAAAGAAAAAAAAAAGGAATAAGTATTTTTTTTGTTTTTGTTTCTTTAATGTATATATTTTAATTCCTTATTTTAGAGGAAGTCATTGAGATTTTCTGTTCTCTTCCAGAAATTTTTACCAAGGTACAACAACAGGCCGGGCAGGAGGGTTGTGCGCAAGAATGTTGTGGTCCAGCGCCAGTTGCCATTATTACCCAAGGCGGTTGTCCCCCCACCAGGAGTTGTCACTGTCAAGATGCTTACCCCTTCACACCAAGATCAGGTTTGGCTTCATAGTCTATGCGCATTATAATTGATATACTGAGTATGATTTGTAGTTTTGTAAGTGGACATGAATGGTTTCATTTCATTTTGTTTGTGTATTTCTTGTTAAATACATGTCTTGTTTTTTTGCTAACATTTGAAATAAGATACACAACATCAAGAAAACATCTAAGAAACCAGGATGTTCCAATTTTGTTTTACTTTCTTACCATTTTTGCATCATTGACTGTTAGGACATCCACCTAAACCAAAATGGAACAAAGAAATTACTTACTCTTATGCTATCTATTTCAGACTAGTAGCAGCTTCATACCTATTACAATTGCTCCAGCACCCAGTGGTATCCCAGTCTCCACAGGCAGCCTCATCTCTTCAAACCTGCAGCCTAAAGTGTCACCTTCATTGTCATCACCTACACAGCCAATAAGACATCAGTTGTTGCAGCCAGTGCAGACATCTTTGATTAATAATAAACCCCCTTCACCAGTGCAGCTACCAGCACTGACGCCTAGGCTTCCAACAGCATTATCTTCAAGTACTCCCTGTGCATTAGGCAATGCTATATCTGTCAATGTATCAGGTCAGCCATTGTTGACAGTAGAAATGCCTACCTCTGCAAGTGGAGCTCCAGTCACTGTGGACACACCCAGTAATTCTGCAGAAAGGGTTGAAGCTCTTCCATCTACATCAAGGGTTGATAACACACTCAGTACTGCAGTGAATACATTAACTAATGCCTCCCCTGTAAATGGGCTGCTTAACACTATAGTATCACAAGCACTGAGTGAACTACCAGATTTGAGCACACCACCAGGGACGCCACAGCCATCTCACACAAACAAATCCCCCAATACTGGTGGCCATTCTACTGTAACCACAGTAGCTTCATGTCCACGAATTCCATCACCTTCACTATTCAATTCTTCACTCTCACTTGATTCATTACCAAGCCTAAGTGGTGGAATAATGACCAATTTACCCCTAGTCAGTAATTCATCATCTATATCACCTTCATTGTCATCAAATGTACTAACACAGAGCATTTCATCCTCATTATCACCCATTACAAAATTACTCACCACTGCCAGTACAAGCCATCTTGAGCTTTCACCCCCTCCTTCACAAACCAATAGCTTTGCCTCCTTACTCAACACACCCACACCACATTCAACTAGCAATACCCCTCCCATTCAGGTTCACAATGTGTCACCTACACCACCCTCCCTTTCCGCTCTTCTCTCTGCCTCGTCACCTCCAGACATGAGCAGAAGCTTTGCATCTCTCCTCTCACCACATCACGAAAACGCATCAGCAGTGACCGTGCCAGAGCTCCATATTCCTGAAGGTGTTGTCAATTTGCCTCTCCTAGATATTTCCCTTGGTGGAACTGTCACACTGGAAGACCAGGCACCAAGTCTTCTTGGGGAAAGTACTTCTGTGACACTAGGTGCAGAGATGCCTCCAGTATCCACTGTATCCACTGTCACCTCCACATATGTAAGGCTTACAACTTCTACTTCATCTATGAGTGGAGTTAACAGTCTCCAGGAGACCAGTAGTGACAAACTACTTGATATTACCTTAGGAATCTCCAACTCTAACTCCAGCTTTTCAAGTAAGTCTTAAATGTGGCTTGTTTTTCTTCTTTTTTTTCTCCAATTGTCCATTTATGTTTTCCCACAGTATTTAAAATCCACACAACTTTATTTTTTCTATAATTGAAAGACAGTTGACGTAGTTCAGCTTTTAGAAAGCAAGTGTTATTATGTTAACCAGTCTTCCTTTTTTCCACATCTTTTTCCAGGCTTGCTTGCCGCTGCAACTCAGCCTCGTTCTCTTGATTCTGCCCTCCTGGGTACACCATCTCTAGTAAGTGACAGTTGCGGGATTGCTACTGAAAGCAATGGTGATGGTGGCAACGTTGTTGAAGGGATCTCTGCAGTGGATATATCAGGTTTTCCGGCCTTGTCCACGACGCCTCCCTCCCCACCCTCGTCGCCCTCACGTCTTCTGCAGCAGTCGGATAACCAGTGGCTTAACAATGAGGTCAATGATTTCTCCCTCTCCAGCCTGCTTGGACATTTTGAGTCCCCAGTCAAGGGGTCGTCGTCTCGGGGATCATCACAGCCTGCTTCCTCGGGCCCCATGTTACCGAATCTCATATCTGTGTACAATGAAAATAGTGTAGACTTTACAGCAAAGTTTGCAGAGTTGAAAGCTCAGGCATCAGAAGTCTACAAACAGTAATTTATTTTCCTAAAAGTCTCAAATGGTAAAAGATTTTGAACCTGATCTTTTTGTAAATCTTTTTGTACAAATACATTAAACTTGAAAAAAAGAGCATAAACTCTAGTTACTTTTCTTCACTACATAATGAGCATTGCACAATTTATATTATCAATGCATAATTTTGTTATTTGTAGAGACATGTGTGATTATAAATTTGCTGAGATAGTACATATCATATCACTCGTCTCTTAAGCACTGAAAGGGGTTTGTTGGTCAACTTGCATAAATATTTTGCTGTTGTGATTATATTTATGTATATAATTTTTTATTAGCATATGGTCAGACAAGCTAGACAAATCCATATGAAATACTTAGATTGATGATAGGTGCTAGGAAAGGATTGAAGACCAAGTAACGAAACTAAATGAAGAAAGTTGCATATGTCAACATGAGTTCTCCTATTCTTGATCAGAACAGTATTATGGTTTTAAGTATTAATTAATTAGTATTTGACAGCAAGGCAAAAATGCACACAATGTGGAGAAACACAACACAAAATGCATCTGCTTGATTTTATACTTTATATTCAATCTGAAGAAACACAAGTAGCATATTGAGTAAATTATCTTGCTCCTCCAAAGTTCATTTGAGGATCTAGGAGTTCTCATTGTAATTAAAACCCACTATGCCATTTCTGCAGCATAAGTCAGTAATATGGCAGATAATTTTAGATAACCCATTTTACACAGTATCAGAAGTATTAAGAATTGGGTGCTCTCTCGTGAATACACTGCTATTTATGAAGCTTTACACGTAAGTCTTGGTCAAGGCACCTTCCATTTTTACTTTAGACCTTAACTTGCTGCAAGCCCTGGAAATCACATGGAGTTCATTATGGTTTCAGTAAACTAAGAGATGTAAGAGAAAATAACATTTAGTACAAGAGTTAACATAGGTTCCTAGTGTAAAATGTTGTGTAGCTTGTCATAAGTAATAGTCTGTGCTGTATGACAAGTTTATAGTGCCTGATGCTAACATTCAGCAGAAACGAGTGCAAGAGTTGGTGATTGAATGACAGTGTTGAGGTTAATGCAGTAGGCAGAACTCAAGTGCTTCAAGATCTTGGCTGTAGTACTTCTAGGATTTCAACTTTCAACTTCTTTCTGTGTCACCAAAAAGAGTAAATTACAATTTTGATATTTTTGCCAGCTTTGTTAGATAGTTGCAAACTGAACAAGACTCATTGGTGCTGTTACTGATTTAGTCATCTTTTATTCAATGTGTATGGTCTTAATTAACATAATGTGTTGCATTTCGTTTATGATTTCAGAAAAGCAGAAAAGCTCTGCTTAAGTGTGCAAAGTACATTGTTCAATGATAAACAAGCTTCAGTTTGTTCAACTTCTACTCCATCACCCATTCACAATATAAAGCAGGGAAATTCCAGTCATTTCTGTTATATATAACCTGTAGCTCAGTAAAGATTTGCATGTTTCCATAGGGAACTGCTTTCAAATTTCAATATGTTAACCACCATCTGCAATCATCAGTTTCACATTTCAAGCATGGAAGATTTGGAAGTTTTTTATAAAGTGAATAATTTTATGCTAAATTATTTTTTTCTGCTTGGGTTGTGAACCAGTTATTTGATTGATTCATTTTAAAAGGTGCCATTTTTAGAATTAGCCTATTTACAGGACACAACTTCCACATATTGTGGTCTTCCTTATAGGTTGAATATTTTAAAAAGCATTATCATCACATCTATTTATCTTGTTTTCAGAAACTTTTTTGAATTTGGCAAAAAGTGAAATGAATTACTGCATACTCCAAATCATTCATCATCAAAATGCATAATCTCAATAGTATCCTTGATCCATATTGTAAAAAAGTACATACACAGATGGCATTTTTTTTGTTTGACATTGTAGATACTGTATGTTGTTCTTTGTAAATTCAAAAGGCAGTTCACATTACATACAAAAGGTGCATAAAGAGAAAACTATAACTGCATGAAGGGAGAGGGGACTTTATCAAGTTAAAAGTGGAGAAGAAAAGGCACTGGTTCTTATAAATGTACAAAGGTAAAGAGAGAGTAACAATACAACTGTAGAATAAGAAGTTAGTTACACCTATTAGATAAATGCAACTATGTTCAGTAATTGGTTAGAAGAATCTGTGTAGATATTGACAATAGTACCTGGTTTCCAATAGTTAAAAGTGAAAAAAAGAAAAAATAGTTATTTATTCATAGCAGTAGAAAGTAAAGTGAATGATCTCTAATACATTTACTCTAATTAATGAAAAGTTTTATGAATGATTTCTGGGATATTTTACTTTGTAATTTTATTTGATTTTAAAGAACTGGGGCTTTAGGATGATGTGAATGAAACACTATATTTGGAATGAAATATGATTTTTATAATCAGGAACAAATTGCTAATTATTCATTATTTTTAAAAGTTAAAGGAACGTAGCTTTATTTTTCCTTTCTAACTCATCTATAGGCAAGTTTACAAATTACATCCAAATGGCTATTTTTTTATGAACAGGTAAACATGAAACCCAAACCTCAGACAGAAGTTCATATATGAGAAAGCTTGAAAAAATGAAGCATTATTTTTCTACTCTTATACAGTTGGTAAAAAAAATGATTTGATGTTTGTATCTCATTTGATTTTTATCTTGTTTGACATTTATCGTTTTCTCTTGACTATATTTGAAGGTACATTTTGCTGTGAATCCAAAGATTCTTACATGTATACAAATAAGAGGAATATATACTTAAAAAGAAAACTTATCAGTTTTATTTGTTACAGACCATTTCATGTACAAGGCTGTGTTATTTTTATTAAAGGATTATGAAAATATGCTTGTTTAATAGCCCTTTGTAAGAAGCAAGATATGAGGGGTTAAAAGAGGTTACATGTATTGTATGTAATATACTAAGTTCTGTGGACAGCACTTTAGTATCACAGGTAATATAATATTTAAATACTGCAATGTATGTAATGTATTATTTATTGAGCACAAAGTAAAATCTGGGGCTGCTAAGTAGAAATGATAATGAGATTCCCAGATATATCAAGCAGTAGATTTGAAAGTAAGATATATATGTGCTATTGATGAATAACAAGCTTGGACTACTAATAGATATAATCATATTTTAGGGAAAGAAAAAGTTTTTTTTTATGAATATGTTTATCCAACAATGGAAGTGGCAACCTTTAATCAAATTTGGATTTCAGGTATGTGATAAAAATTAAAATCCATAGTATGAAATACATCTTTCTCACAAGACTTCAATAGCCTTGGATCTTATTATAGGTAAAAATGAAAGTTGAAATGGGAGTTATATTATTTTATGTTTTTTGTGCTGCTAATGATTAACTATAACATTAAAAAAGGAAGTGCTTGACATGTCATTCTCTTCTTTAACATATATTCACTAAGTTCCTACTAACATTTCCAATGTTTAATTGTCAACCTGAGCAGAACTATGATGTACATCTAATTATGATTATTTTCTTTATTTATAAAGTTACTGTACAGCTATACATATACAGGACTTTGAATTCATCAAACAGTTTCTAATATGCAGTACCACATTTTAAAACAGGAGTACATACAGTTAAATAATACTACATGCATAACAGAAAGAAAAACATTTCATATATCAGAATAGGGAAAAAGGAGAAAAAAAAGAATTTTTCCATCATCTCTTTTGCAAGAAATAAAATAAAGATAACAGAAATCTACAAAAACAAAACATTGTAAAAAAGAGAAGAAAGGAAATGAAAACCACTTACTAAAGTGTGTATAATGTATGTGTAAATGAAATGAGTATAATTTAATAAAAATATCAAAATCTACAGCTACTGCACCAAAAAATTAAACATCCCTGAGAAAACCTATTTTCCGTCTTTTACTTTGTAGTCAAAACAAACATTTTTGCCTTTACAGTAGAAAATATCTCTAGGCTGATATCATCTGTCTGTATGTTTCCCAAATTTAGTTATGCAAACAAAATGAAAACATGTATAATTTCAAAGCATTATCTTCTTGAATGATAACACAGTACAGCTACATATGAGAGTAACAGGGAGTTGAAAATAGAAATTCTTAAATGGATTGTTTACGTCTTCAACAATGTCACATTGTTAACTTGCAATCTATATGATTAATAGCAATTCCTTGCTATTTATGCTACTTCAAAAATGCATTATGCCACTACACAAAGCAGTATTTCAAAACCAGTAGTAGATGGTAAAGTCCTTCAAGCATAAATAAAAAAGATAATCAACAATCTACATCAAGCCTATATTGATTTCAAAGTACAATATGAATGAAAATGCAATAGCAGAATTGTAATTCATAAATTATTTATACTTTATTAATGATAGCCTTATTAACATACTTCATTAATATACCCAATTTTAATTTCTGCTACAAAGGAGGAATTAATGGTATTTTATATGTTCTAATTACTAAGCAAGAAACTGGGCACTTAGAATCACACTTTTATTAAGATAAATATTTACACATACTTATATATCCTCTATTGCAGATGTATTACAGATGGTCAAGCTGCAATGGAAAAAGGTAAAAATCTTTCTTAGAAATTCTATTTTCTGGTAATTAATCTTGGTTTCCCATTACAATGTTTGAGGCACATTATATGGTCACATATCACATTCGCATCTTAATCAGTGAAACCGCAAAAATAGATATAATCACTGATCTCATGGCTGAAGTTAAGCAACTTGAATTTTCATAACTAGGACTTAATATGTATATGAAAAAAATATTTGGCAAGGAAAAATTAACCATATCCACCTCAGCTGTTACATGCAATTTTCTACATTATTCATATATTATATTATTTATATCTCACTGTCACACACACACACACACAATGTACATTATGCACAAGCATGTATGTACACACACACGCACGCACGCACGCACACAAAGTAGTGTGTGTGTGTGTATAGCTAGGAGGCAGCAGTATCTACTTGATACAGAGCCACTTTCAGGTCAGCAGATACAGCAAGACCTGAGCTGATCTTCACCAGGCACACCCACATAAGAAGTAGGATATAAATGTACAGCATATGAAACACCTGACCTGGATGTTATAGGGTCATTTGGCAGCTGAGGTTCATGGATTTCTTTTTGCTTTTCTGCATGGTCAAGTATTTGATGATTGTTGTTTTTTATTTGGACACATCTGGGAAGGATGAATATATATAAAAAACAAAAATTCTGTACTCTTATCATGTAACAGTGATAAATGTTAAAAATAATAATTTTTGGGAAATATATCAAAAAGATAGGCAGAGTACTATCTTGTTACACAGGAATGTATTAACAACAATGCCTCATTAAAAAATAAAAAGGCAGAGCCATGTTCACTTTACATCATGTAGAACACATATAGTATATGTACATAATAAGTGTGTGTGTGTGTGTGTGTGTGTGCGTGTGCGTGTGTGTGTCCGTGTGTATGTATGTGTGAGTACCCTGCATATATACTACATATATCAGATATATATCAACAACATATGTACATTACTGAAGGTTTATCTACAGAATCTCATGCATTGCTATCACCAGAACACTGCAAATCAGATGCAGACTTTACTGCATGTTGTGTATTACATGAAATTTCATAGTAACAACTAAATATAAGAGTCAAGTCACTTGATACCTTTATACATTGGGTTACCTCTTACTTGTAAATCTCAATTGTTATGTAATCTTTCTACTCTTCTCTGTATTAAGGTAAGTTAAATTCAGTAGCAGAGCATGCAAAATGTTATTAACAGGTGTCTGTATACACTGACTTTAAACAATTGCTGTCAGTTTAAAGAAGAGGCATATAATGTTCCTAAATTCTATTTAAAACAAACAGACTTTGAAATATTTTTAACTTAAAAAATGTCAAGCTTTTGGTATAATTTGGATAAACAATTTCATCTAAATTTAAAACTAAAATATATAACCCAAACTTCATAGCCTCATAAAATTAAACACCTCATAGAATTGAGATTATCTTCATATCATAATATACAATCATATAAATTCCATAAACTTTTCTTCAACACATTTTCAGCAACCTCTTTTTATAAAACTGAAAGCAAACGTAAAAGACAGACAAACTAACATCCCAATATAACATCCATCTGAAAGATGAACAAAAATTTCCATTGTAATGATATCTCTTTCTTCTTCTTGGGGTTTCGAAGTCGCGAGTTCGCCAAGATCTCCTTCGGGAATCCCGGCTTCAGCACCGACTAGCAAAAGCACGCAGGTTCTTTTCAGATCGAGGGAAGAGGCTTCTGACGCAAATGTTTCCTGCAGACTGGCCGGAATGACCGAACTGTCGTGGGGAGAGATCAATGCTGTGTCGTTGCCTTCGTCTGCGTCGCCTGCGTTTGTGCGAGTGTGACAAGTAGGTTCTTCTTCGTCTTGGTCGTCTATGAAGAGGGTGGAGGAATCGGCTCTCGGTGAATCGCTTTCTGGAGTGGAGTTGGGCGTCTCCTCGCGCACTGGCGTTGACATCGAACTCTTACATGTAACTGTTTGATGAATGTGCTTTATTTCCCGGGCAATAAAGTTCAGCGAGTCAAGTGTTTTATGTTCACTCGGGCCATGCTGTTATACCTATAAAAAAAAAAGTGTGACATTACCTACAGAAAGGCTGAACCAATTTTTCATGTATTTATTTAGTACTCTTTATAGTCCTTAAAATACAATTATAAGAATAGCTAAATAAAAAAAAAAAATCTTTGTAATGATTGCCTAACCGTCACTGAAAAACAAAACATTTAATATCAGATTCACCTTCACTGTTTTTTAGCCTCACAACAGACAAGTTTTTTTTTTTTTTTTTTTTTTTTTATCATTGGACTCGTGAAAAGCTGCTTATCTCCACCCGCAATCCTCCGTAATTTAATCGTTACCATAGACTATAAAAACTCCACACTAAAGCCAAGTCTTATTTATCTCGAATTCCTTTTTTAGTTCTCTACAGATTTGCGGTTTAAGATTTCTTGTTATGGTTCTTGGTGTCACTACCAAAATGCACACGATTTTCTCCGTTGTTATATCGCTTTCATATTGAAACAAGACAAGTTTTTTTGGGGAATTTTGCAGCATTCAAACTCCTACGTTCACACATCACTGTGCGTATGATTGTGCACGGATCAATTTCATATACATGTGGTTTCCTTACGTGGATCTTATTCTAATTTTTATTTATCAGTGAACAATATCAAGACAAATTATCCAGCGGTCATATCGTAAACATGACGGCACTTACCAGCATGCATGACTAGGTAACAAATTTGATCATGACTGACACACTCATCATTTTTTTTCTGTCATTAACTTAAACGTCAAATCCTTGTTCACTGTCCTTCGGTGTTAAATGAGAGAAAACTATGACACAAACGCGAGAACAAACGACTGAGCAGTGTGACTGAACCGCAAGTAAGGTTTCACGGGCATTCGAGGTTACTGTAGGAAAGATATACGCACGCACAAACATGCCATATATGTATATGATTTGCCAGTATAGAACCTTTTTTCAAAATGACTTGTTGATAAAACTCATGTACACCGATACACCACACTGAATGACATCACCACCTGCGATTTTATTTCAGTGTCGATTTCAGGGGCCGAGACACCCGTAAACACTTCCCCCTCGACACACAATGCGAAAGGCGGGTAAATGCTATTTGAGTGGGAGAGCGCATCACAGTGCTCTCAAGGAACGTAAAATTATCATATTCTTACATCTGACTGTTATCACACAAGGCCGAGAAGTGACTTTTGATCCTCACAGAATTTGTTTATATCTA